GATAACAAAAGAAATAATTTGCATCTATATCATTTCACACAGGCTTAACTATCAACAGAATAAATTCCTGGGGGCCCAGGGAGATGGCTCAGTGGAATAAGCGTTTCCCTGGCAAGTGCAAGCGTCTGAGTTCAATCTTCAGTTCTGCTAGGAAAAAAAAAAAAAAAAAAGGAAATAGAATAAATTCCTAGAAGTGGAATTTCGGGGTCAAAAGATTTTGCCTTCATAACTTTCATACATATTGTCAAATTGCCCTTCATGGAATTTCATCAGTCAGACACACCATGATTAATGCAGGATACTGTCTACACCTTCACCAACATGAAGGTGTTATCAAACATGAAAATACACTGAGTTCATTCTTTATTAATTTTTTAGATCCTACTACGTATTTCTTTTAGTCACATTTCATAAGGTTTTCTACATTAATTCTGGTTTTTGGAGTTGACTGATTGCAATTTTTCTCTGTAGATTAATGATCACATTTAAAAATTCATATTAAAGTTTGATATTGTCAAAGACTATCTGAAGAAATACAGTTTCTCATACTGTTTACCTTTGCATAGTAGAAACCAGCATAGATTGATTTCATTTAACAAAGGCAGGAGTGGGAGCGATTTTGCAGTTTGGAAACCGTCCGCTTTATTTTCCTTGGTGAGCGGCGGGTTACCCGGCAGCAGGCAGAGAAGCCAAGTGAAGCGTGCCGACTTCAGGTACCTGGGTGTGTCCACCAGGAACGCCTCTTGCCAAGACAGCTCTGCTGCTGACACAGCGACAGACCTTCGGAGTGCTGTGGCTGTCCGCGGGTCTCTCGCCCTGTGCCAGGTCTGCCCTTTCCGTCTCACAGTTTCCCACTGGATGTTGATATGATCTATCAAAATGATGTTAAGATTTTTATATCCTTATTTTTTCAATTAGTGACCATTCAGATAAATTAGTTTCCTACCTCATATTTTTTAATGTTTCCTCTTACATCCCCTATGGTTTCTGCTTAGTATTCCTGCCAAGTTGCTGGAGCCACAGCTGTTGGGAACTGCTCTTCCTTATCGTGCACCGTAATCTTTGGCGTTAGAGGTGCACTTTTTGTCTTTTCGGTCCACGTCGGCCTAAGTTCAGTCTTGTCTGTTATTAAGATCTTGGTCGCTGCTTCCTCAAGTTGTTCTAAGGTCCACCTTCATCTTCAATCCCTATGATTCAAAACTGAAGGCGTATAACACAGATTTGAGTTTTACTTTGTGACTCTAAAATTTTTTTTCTATTAATAGTTTAGTTTTGTCTTATTTGTATTTGTTGATTTGAAGATTAGCTTTAGTTCTGTCACATTTTGTTAGATTTTCAGTATTGATACTTTAAATATGTTCTACTATATGGAGAATTTGTTTTATAGGGGAATGGGGGGAGAGAAAAAAGCCAAGATGTATCATGTGTAGGCCGATGACTGTGATCATTATGTACACTTAAAATGCAGCAATAAACTTAGTTAAAAAGCACAAATATTTTTTAATAATGAAGATTTAAAATTTTATTTTCATATATATGCCTTTGTAATATCCTAATTGTACAGTGTCTATAATTCATTTTTTATAAGTAATGATGTAACATACAGGTATTTTTGTCTTATTCCATCTCAATTCTCAAGTCTATTATCTTTCTTAGTGTTTGTATTGCTAAATACCTACATACTTTCACAACTTGATTTAATATTGTTGCAAAAGCTTTCCTGAGTCGATCTCTTCTCCTAACCTACAGTTCATACAATTAAGAGCATTATGCCAAAAATCATATCACATTGCAAATCCTGGGGGTGTGGGGTGGGGTGGGTCTCTAACCCCTACATAATCTGCATTCTCTATGTCCTTCAAAAATTCCCTAATCCAGCCTCAGGCTACAACTCAACCTTACTTCCTCCACACACACTCAGCGAATCCGCCCTAAAGGTCCAAAAGTTAAGAGGAGCCGAGAAGGGTTTCCAGCAGACAGCTCGCAGCCTGCTGCCGTCTCCTTAGGGTGCCGCTCCCCACCTGCAGCCCGTCTAGTGCAGCTGAAGCTTTTCCTTTCCTTCTGCACCGAGTTCAAGTTCCAGCTCCCTAAAGCAAATTGAACATTTTTAGAAGCTCAGAATCCCTGAACTGGCAGACAGCTTAGAAGTCACCTAGACTACTTCACACGCATACGTGAATGTCAGTGACCGCCATCCGATTTCCGGGGAACCCTAGCACTCTGCAAGCAGTAGTGCCCCAGCTGTACCCTTCTGGCTTATCATTCACTGACTCTGAGAAACTTCTGACTGCTGATTTACCTAGACTATTTGGGGAAGTGTGGTGTCCTCGCGCCTCTGGGGAGGCAGGCATTCGCCTTCCTTTATTCCTCCCAGATGAAAACCTTACCAGATCCTTCAATGCAGGAGCAACAGCGCGTACAAACACTGGGCCTTTCTGCTGCTCTATGGAAACGAGAAGATAATACTTAATTTATCTCCTTTTTCCAATTGTACTTTTTCCTCTTAATTACTTACACTTTTTTTTTCTTCTTCCAATTTTACATGTAACAAATGTATTGTACTAATCTGGTAATATGAATAATGGGTTGGAAGACACTGTATTACAACAAACACTGTGCAATTCATATTACTTTAAGTGAAATTCTGTATCACTTGTAATTTTTTGTTTTAATTCTAATTTGTACTCTCTTTAACAAACAAACATGATCTCTGGACACATGGCCAGCTTTGGCCACACTTGAGTCACATTTCACTTAAAATTCAGCTCATGTTTTCTTGACACCATCAGCGCTGATAGTGCTGTGTGGTCACCAACATTTCTGCATCAGCCCAGGACTGCGTTTGTGTAGCAGCCAGAGCCTACCTTTGAACTACTGCTGACCTAAAATCCCAAGTGCCTGTATTATATTGGGCTCCCTCACAGACACAGAGGCAGGAGCCCTGCTCCCAACGGACGTTCCTTCTATGAAATACCTGCCCAGTGGGCCTCAGAACTGTCCGGGTCATCACAAACAAGGAAAGGCTGAGGCTCTCACAAGTCACAGTTGCCTCAGAAGACCTAACCCTTTAGTGTAATATGATCCCCAGGACAGGAACCGGGAAAATTAAGCAAGTCTGACAGCTAATGAGAGAGTACCAGTATTAGTTCCTTGTAACAAATGTATCCTACTAATCTGAGAGAGACTAAGAGGGGAAACTTGGTGGGGCGCCAGTGAACTCATGGGTCATCTTCACAGTATTTCCATAAATCTAAGTCTTTTCTAGAATTAAGAATTTGTTTAAAAATGAATATACTCTATTAGAACACTAGCAAGACAATAGTCTTACCTATTTTTAATCACGGGTCCCTCTTAATTGATAAAACTCACGGAGGAAAACTCTTATACATAAATTGCATCCCAAGGCAGGGAGGGATAGGGGCTCGTGGGCTTTAGATGCAGAACTCCTTTAACTAAATGAGGCAATGTTTAGCATTCCCTGTGGGCAGCGTTTTGGGAATAAAGGTAGAGCAGTGGGGGGACAGTAGGGGCCACAAGGGTCCTCCTTAGAGAACTTGTCTAGACCTCATGCTGTCAACTCTACTTTGTTGTGCAGTGTGTATTTTTTAACCCAAAGGACTTAAAAATGCATGTTGTGAGGTCCAGACGAGGCCACCCCAATTGCTCCCAGCGTCCCAGCATCCCCATAGCTCTGTCGTATTTGTCAAGCAAGGTGTAAGCTGCTCGAGGCCAGCTCTTTCACAATGCGGTTAAATTGTCAACTTCTCAGGTGAAGTGTATTAGCTCTTTTATACTGGAAAAGCGTGTCTGACACCTGCAATTTAAAAGAAGTGTTCTAGTTTTGGGGCTCACGGTTTTACCCCTAGCCGCCTAGCTCCAAGACAGAACAGCATCCGGGAAGCAGAGAGCTGAAGGCAACCGAGGAGGAAGAAGGGCCGGGGCCAGACACGACCCCCAAGGCTATGCCCCTGTGACCCACTTTCCCCAGCCAGGCTCCAGCTCCTCAGCCGCAGCTAACTATGGAGTCAGCCGAGGGCTCTGGCAGGTTAGTGCCCTCTATCTGACCACCTCTCCAGGAAATCTGTCATCTGGTTAAACTGTCAAGATTCACTGCTGCTTGGGGTTCAAACCCCCTCAATTCAGATCTACTTGCCTAGGGGGCTGGGGAGATGGCTCAGTGGAGTAAGCGCTTCCCTGGCAAGTGCAGAGGCCTGAGATCAATCCCCACTTTCGAAAAAAAAAAATTCTAATTGTTCTTTTACTTAAAAATTGGCCCTAAAGAACATTGTATATTAACCTTTTTCTTACAAGGCTAATCTTAAAAATGATTTTTAGGGGGTGTAAATTTATAACATACTCGTACAAGCCTGTTAAATTGCATCCTTTAAAGCATATTCCACTTGCTATTAATTTGCATCAAGTAACAAACATAATCTTTATACTAAGCTAAACAGACTCACTGTTCTTCCCTCACATCCTTGATCATTTTGAGTCTCTTTCTCTAGAGATTAGATTTTCATATTTTCTCAAGTTTTTAGTTGTTTAATAATAGAACCCGCTGGGGCTGGGGAAATGGCTTGGCAGCCTAAGCACCTGCCTGGCAAGCACAAGGACCCGGGTTCGATCCCTGGCACCGCTGTGCCAGCCCTAGACCCCCAACTACCGAAACTGGGCATGGTGGCACACACCTGTAATCTGGGGAGGTGTGTGCTGGGGAGTCTGAGCTGCCTAGCGAGACCCTGCACCAAAGAAAGAAATGATAGAACCTGCTAATTTACAGCTAACTCTAAGTTAGACAGCAACAGCTCTATCCAAATAGGTGTCAGTGCTAAGTTCAGAATGCAAAAAGGGACCAATGCCTACTTCTGTCCGTATGCCTCGTAGCAAGAGCAACAGTGATTCCAAGGCTGCTTATGGGATGGAGCTCAGCGAGTCTGAAAATTACGGGCTGTACGGAAAACAACACCGCCAAGGCAAATCTAGTGAAAACTAGCTTTATTTTAAAACGAAGTGCACAGCACTCATCTAATTCCACTGGTGTAGACTTTAGCACCACACTATTTGCAATTCATGCCATAACACAGATACATTTTGGTTTGTAGTCTGTACTTGAGTAGTGTTTATTTAAGTGGACTTTGGTTAAGCCCTTATACATATCATTAATCTCTTCACAGTACACATTTAATCATGGTCCAGTAATCTCAAAAAAAGAAAAAAAAACAGAAACAAAAACATTTGACTAATCAATAAATTAAACAAAACAAAACCCACACATCTTCCCTCCCCAAAAGCTAACAGTTATGAGCTGTATTTGTATTGAAAACTATTGTTTTAAAAATGGTTCTGGTTCTTCAACCACACGACCACATCCCGGGTATGCAGCAATTGTAATCAATTATTTTATTCTACCCCTCCCCAAAGATTAATCCAGTGTTCTTTAGCTTTTTTAAAAATATAAATTGGGAAAGTATTAATAGGCTTTTTAAAAGGCATATTTTTCTACAACAAGAATGACATATAAACCAATCAATAAAAGCGTTGGACAAGACATTAAATTACCACAGGCACTGGCTGTTGTTTCAAGTTAGGATTTCTAGCCCAGTATCATACATTCATAGCATTACTGAGGTAGTTAAAATACTGAAAATTGGACTCCAGTTTACTGGGTTCTACGTGAATGTGAAAGATGAAAGGTGTATTATTTTTTATAACCTACTTTCCCTCCAAGTAATTCAAGTTTCTTAAGGTAAGAACTATTAAAATCCAATTAGCAGCCTTTTAAAAGAGGAAAAGAGATGATAGTTCCAGAAAACAATTTTCATGCTTGGAAACTGCCATTCGTAGGTGTTCTTACCTGAGTGGTTTTGCTTTATTTGCCAGACTAACACATCCACCTCATGCCCTGTGTAGTATGCAGGAAGGTTAGTTTCCTTTTCAGAAAGGACCCTGCTGGAAGCCCTCACGCAGGCAGAGCCCCCCATCCGCTGGAGCTGCCGCATCCTCGTCACCACGCTGAGCCCCGGCCTTCCTAAGCAAGGCCGCGGGCTTCGTTACTGAGACGCCTGCTGCATACCCGCATCTTTACAGTAAGTCTGTCTTCAATGCGTACTGTGATGGTCACCTATCTGCCATGCAGACTCTTTTCTATTCAAGTGCTATCTTTAAGAAAACACAAACAAAATACACACCTTACAAATTTCTAAACCAGAAAGCTTCCTCCACCAAATCTCTCCCCGCTCAGCTAAGAGCACAATGTATAATTTATTAGTTATGACGCTTTCCTTTTTATCTCCCCCATAATATTTTACTCTTAACTTGCCTATTCCTGCTGTCCTCAGTCATTACCAGTACAGTGAGATGTCCCTGGACAGTTGTGGGCCAACCTAATGAAAGTGACTCCTGAACTTTAGTAATCTGCACCCTTGCCTGCTTAGATTGACTGGCTGGACTCCAAGGGTGCTTTAAAACCTGTCTTCCATATACAAAGTGCTGCGCTAGCACAACCTGAGCACCACCCTGGCCACCCTCCGCTCCAAAACAAACCTATGGGACTTTATTCCAGTACTGACACTTTACTGATACGTTTTCTCTTGAAAAAACTTTTTAAAGAGTAGTAGCAAATCACTGATTGCACTGAGAAATGCAAAACCTATGCATGTATTTTGAATCACAGGAACTACCACTTCATTCTGTGCTACGATATCGTCTTCTCATTTGAAAACATATCCTAGCAGGAGCATTTAAACCTGTTATAAAGGTAGTTCACACTAGAACATTCCCATAGCATGCTGTATTACAGTTAAGTGTAGTTAAATGTTTCCAAGTAGTATAAATTCCCTGAGTTAAATGTGTTTTAATTCTAAAGATTTAAAAACAAAAAAGAAAAAAAACCAAGCAAGTAAGAAACTCAAGTTACAACCATGATTTCAAGATATGAGATCTACTCAACCCCTAATTTTAGTACACAAATCCAGAAACCTATTATTTATGACAGGAAATTATATAGGATAATTTGAAAAAAAAAATGAACTGCACAACTGGTATAGCACAATTTAAAATTAAGTGAGAAATTCATCTATAGCTCAAAAGTAAAACTCAAAACTGAATAAAAAAAGAATCTCTGCAAAAATTAATACTGTTAACTTTCCTTCATAAAAGAGAGTTTGGCAAGTCCAAAGAGAAATATTAGTCTCAACATATAAGAACATAAGGCCCAGAGTCTGCCACAGGTTAACTCTCAGAATGCTAAGCTGGAATCTGGTCAGATTTCCTGTTAAAATGAACATTTCTGAAATACGTGGACCACCAGCCAGGCTTGAACATTTCTGTCATACAGGGATTGGTTGAAACAGGGTCTGACACCCACACTGCTAAAAGCGTGTGGTTAGTTCTCCTGTGTACTCCTAGATACTGAACGGCTATTCCGTCCTCCTGGCACTGGTATCTGAAAAGTTCTGATGTTATTTGGATCCCTTTTCTTCTGTAGACAAGTTTACAAAAAAAGATGCCCCAGGCCTTCGAGTCAAAGAATTGTCCGGGTCAGTTTTCGGCTTCACACACGATCACCTTTCGAAGCACGGAGTAATACAAGGGTAGTGTTCATTGATCTGATAACTCCGGTTGTAAGCGACACTCACGCAGGGCTTAACTTCTACTGGTATCGCCAGGGACATCCCAACACCAGTCTGCATGTTCCCAAGGCCCTGCACACTTGTTGGGAAGCCAGCAGGACATGTCTGTAGTGTGTAGGACGAGGTGTGCGTGGTAGACACAACCTGCTGGCAGCCGGGTTGCTCTGACACAGGATGGCGGTACTGCAGCGAGGTCTGTTGAGTCTGATGGAGATACTGAGGCTGCTGAAAGTGAGCTGGCCGTGAGGGCTGCGAGGCCGTCTGGAACACGCCTACTGGTGCTGCCTGAGGGCCCGCCTGTCCTCTCTGTTTGTTTGCTTCTTTCACGTCATTGTCATGAGCACTGAAATATGGAAAGAATGGAAATATTATGTTGAGAAAATTCTCTAAGAAAGTTCCACCCCCACTTCAACAGCTTACTCCACAAAATTCAAACGACACTAAGGCATCCATTGTGTTTTTCTAAGCTATTTCTAAGTTGGAAGATGTGTCCACAAAAAGTGTGGCTGCCACTTCAGAAACATCTAGGCGATTCTTAAAATTCAAAGATATGGAAATGGGAATTGGACAAGATTTGCCTGGATTGATTTTACAGTATGGACCTACAGACACACAAGAGCAACTCTTCTCTCTCTTATGTACTGTACCCAGAACCATACTAGCAACGGCAAATTCTAAGTAGTTAACAGCTGAAGGCAGTGCCCCCCTACAAAGTACTGCTCATCCTGCAAGGGTTGTGCCTTTTAGAAATGTTTTTTAGGTATGAAGAAAAATGTTAGTAAGAAACCCCAAAACAAAAGGGCTTACATCAACAGCCGCTCAATACACTGCACTAAGAAATCCCACGAGTAAGCAGTGAGACGATGCAGTCTTGCAGGCCACGTTGGGGAAAGTCGAAGTATAATCCTCGAAGAAGCCACACACGCAGCAGCTACTAAAGAAGGTGCATAATTTAGAAAGGCATAATCTGTGGAGACACCAACAGCGAACGTAAGCAACAGATCAAAGAGTCCGAAGCACACAAGTCGCTTATGGGTGTTCACATCCACTCACCTTGCAGAGACACTTCCAAGAAGTAATCCGCGTATTTGGCCATATAGAGTTTAGTTTTTTCCAAACAAATCATTGGCCAGCCGTCGTGAAGATCTGTTTCGTGTACTGCTTCAGAGAGATAATACTCGATGAAGTGAGCTGCCGTCGGGAGGCAGAGGTTCCACTGGAAGGTTTCCAACAGCAGCAGCTCCATGTGTAGCAAGTTCTGCTTTGTCAGCACCAGGTTCATGTTCGTCATGCAGCCCAGGCTGTTGAGCTGCTCCAGCTTAGGCACACTGTCTTCTTTTTCTTCAAATTTACCTTATAAGAAAAATGGAGGTGACGGAAAAAATGTTAAGCCAATGATCATCACACATTTAGTCAATTAAACGGGATTTTGTCTTACTATCAGGATTTAGATCCAAAGGTACTCTTTTTGCTACCCCCCTGAGAAAGAATTGGGCCAGAACTCTCCTCTGTTGTGCTATTTGCACATGTTTTCTTTCTCAGTATCACCGTCCCCTGCTTTTCCCCAGACTCTGAAACTACTTAAACATTGTGGTCTGTGTCCTAAAGCATAAAATAGTTACATGTGCTAACAAGAAAATAGGTCTGCCAAACCACACCAGATATTTCAGAGTTTTCGGTGGGTAGGTTGAGTTGATGAAAGAAAAGTAATTTTATTTTATTATTATTATTATTATTATTATTTTCCTTTGCGGAACCAGGTATTGAACTCAGGCTCTTGCGCTTGCCAGGCAAGCACTTATTCTACTGAGCTATCTCCCCAGCCCCTACATTTATTCTTGTTTGTAGCACACTGGAAACCTGAAGTTTCCCATGAAGCTTCCCTTCTGGAGGAGACGGGTTTGCACCACACGTCCAAGCTGCGACACTAGGTCAGTGGCACAAGCCGGGTCACTGAGGGCAGAGGCTCCCTGTGTAAGCGGCGGTCACGGCGCCACAGCCAGCGTGGCCCGCTCATCCCTTGGGGCTGGGGAATGTGCACTGCTGCCTGCCGTGGTCTTCGTGCAGAACAGAAGTGGGACACAAGGCTCTGTCTTTGATGTCAGAAGATTCTATGCCTGTCTGGAGAAAGACCTAAATGTAAGCAACAGTGAGTCTTCCTGTTCTGGAGCACCTTGGAAATATTTTGGATCTAAATCATTCTTTTAGTAAATAATACTGAAAACAGAAGATAAAAATTTACATAATTCAGATGTTGGACTTCAGGTAATAAGAGTTTGAGAGTCTAGATAGACCTGCCTATATCAAGTCATATAAGGTGAACTAGAAGTTTGACCAATAATATATACAAACTGTAGCAGAAAACATCGAAGTGGTGTTTATGATAGAGATCCACATCACCATTAAATAGGTAAGAGGAAAATCACTGTTCTCAGTAGAATGGAGTAAAACTGTCAGAAGCAGAATGACCTAGGAATGAGGTTCGGCCCCCTTGGATGAGTCACCATGGCTTTCAAAGCACAATGATGCAGCAGCAACAATGAGGACAGTGAACTTCAAAAGAACGCTGTAAAAATTAACGAGTTTATTTATGTCATGCTTGAGGTTCCTTTGAGGAAACTAACACACCATAATTCACCATAATTCAAGGATGTTTCATATTATCTTCTTGTGGCTTTCAACATCAAAAATAAAGTTGTACATGACCAATTTCACAGTTCAAAAAAAAAAAAAAGAGGTTGGCCAATTTATTTAAGGTCAAATAAGTTCAATCAAATAAAAAAATTAAAGGCAAAAAGAAGATATATATGTTTGGATTCATAAATTTATCTTTCTAAACCAAAATACTACACCAGATTATATGGGGACAACAAACTTCTGAATCTTCGTCTAGGTGATAAGTACCCAACTATTATAAATGTGAAAGACTTTGCATACTGATTTGCCAAGTTAAAAATAACTTGCATACTGCATAAATAACCACACAAGATCCTAATACATGTTTAAATTTTTTGAAACCTTCATGATGTACAGTGATATACTTAGCTAAGTGGCTATTAAGGAATATCAAAAAGTTTCTATGATAACATAAGTACCTACTTCCAAATCTATAGTTTGTTATGCTGAAATACTGTATGTGACTTTTAACTTTTCTATCCGTAACGCTAAGCACAGGTCGTTAAATCAGTTTCTTCAATTGAAAGGAAATTCCGGAAGCCATGTGATTATACTGATAAAATCCCAGACAGGAAATACGGGCAGAGGAAATTCCTACAAGCGTCTCAGAAAATAAAGAACTGGAGGCCACAGAAACAAAACTTTACATTGTCCTTCCTTTAGAGGAAATGTTCAGGTCAGCCATAGAAACCAATGTGCGTTCACAACCAGCAGGGCAGCAGCCAGGTGGCAGGGCAGAGGTGCGCGCTGCGCAGGGCACGGCGCTGCTGCTGTGCACCAACGCTGCCAGCCACGTTCGCTCCTTTCAGTACTAACCAGGAAAGAACACAACTTGGAAGACCGCAGTCTAACTGAAAATACATAAGCAACAGGAAAAGGTAATTCAAAAAAAAATCTCCACTCATTAAAAATTACACTGTAATTCAAACCAACTGTAAATTACAACTGCTCATCTAACAGTACAGTAAAAAGCTTGGCTAATCCAGTAGTAGGGCCAGTGAACAGACACATGAACGCTTGTTACCACTAAAAGCCTACAATTTTCCACTTTTGACTTTAGCAAACTATTAAGACCACGTCTCAGTTACACAAAACTCAGCAAATTATCAGAAGTCTCACCCCTAAAACTGATTCCAAACTCTCAAATTTAATTCTGGGCACAGAACCCAAGGAAAGCCAGGCCATGTATGAATGAGTCAAAATGTAAGTTTCCCTGGACAAGCCTGGGTCCATTTTAGAATAAGCCAGGATCTAAAAGCTAGGGTGCCACGCAGGGGAGTTAATCCTTACAATGCTTAGCCTTTAGTGATTCCATTTCTAGGTAATTTTCAACACATCACCCCATTTGATCCTCACAACTCTGTAGGACAAGGGTCTTTATTTCCAACTTTATGACAAACAACGTGAGACCCAAGGTTTGTTGAAATTTACACTGTTCAAGTCCAGAAAATGGATCGCTATAGTATCTGCTCTGAAACACTATACACTGCTCTCCCAGCAGAGATAGTACAAGCCCTTTCTTCTTATCTCCAATAGTGTAGATAATAAGCAGTGGGGTATTGTTCTTGGACATTACAAGTTGGGCTGTGTCTTTAGCCCAATTACCAGGCGCTATAAGCTGCTCTTCCTTGCACACTCCACCACACCTGCCCCAAGTGAGAGCTGGGTGAGGGTCAGAACACAAAATTCAAGCCTTCTGTGAAGAGGGCAGCAGTATCTGAGTGTTCAGGGTAACTAACTGGAGAGCTGCCCTTGGTATCTAAACATAAGGAGATAAAATGGAAGAAACGTTTAAGAACAAATTTAAAACAAATACCAGACACTGAAAACAAGCTCTCAGTTTATACAGCTTTTCTGTAGTAACAGACTCAGGAAGGAGAGACTGCCGTAGGCCAGGGCCAGCCTGTCAGATGCCCAACTCCAGAATCTGGCTGCTGCCTCCAACTCCCGAGCACCGCCCACTTCGGGGAGGCTGAGACTCTGCGGCGTATCTCACGCACATTCCCACCGGTTAGTAGATAATGTAAATCAGTCCTTCTCTTTCAGAAAAAAGGGGGTCAAGGATGTCAGGAGAACAAAGAAAGGAGGTGTTCAGCTCTTTCAGTAGGAAGTAGTAATTCATATATGAATCACAATAAATAGGCCTAAAGCCTCGTTACTATAAAATAAGCTTTAAAATCTATGTATTACCATACAGAGTAAACCAAATAATCTTCAATAAAATATAAATGGATTACGGCCTTAAATGGTAACACATAAATTAAAGAAAAATACAACTGCACACTCCATTCCAGTCAACCTAAGGTAGTGCGAAAGACAAAACACCCTTGAGCAACTTGTGGAGACTATATGAATTTGAACCGCTCAAATAAAATACAGTGACCAAAATTCTTACTAATCAACTAATCAATCATAAATCTTTAGCAAACTTTGGTGGTGACATGTCATGTATAAATGCCTAGTTCCTAACTCATTTGCCAAGTTATCAGTAAACGTCAGCTGCAAATAAAAGTCAGCACATGAACCCAGTACGCACCACGCATTATCCAGTCCAACAGAATGGGCCTCCCTCTGGGCCACACACACTTTAAGAACCACAAGCAGCATGGGTGGGACTTGTAGTGATAAAATGACAAGGACAGTCACAGCAGGCAAAAAAAAAAAACTGCTTGTCAATAATGATCCCAAAATAATATTTCAAAAATAATCTAACTTATCTCTATTTTCCAGTGTCTCTTTATGATAAAATGATCCTCTAATAAACGTTTTGTAGGTTTTATTTGTGGGTTCCCACACATGTGACCTCTCAGTAGTTTTTCCAATCTTACAAAACCTAGAAAGCCTCAAAAAAAAGCTCCAAGCCAGTGATGAGGCACATACGGTATTTTATTCATGACCCACGAACACGAACATTATTAGATGTGAGCGGCGCCCCCACAGGCTGTGGCAACCAAAAGGATCTCCACACAGGACGAGCGTCCCACGGGACAAAACTGCTTCCGATTTCAAAAGAGGATTCCAGCTAGAAAGGTCATGAGAAGCACCTTTGAGACGGACACTAGGCCGCTCCTTTGTGTAGATTCTGAATCAGCACCCCTGTGATGCCCCACACTATGTGTTTCTCTCGGAATATTTAGCACTGTGACTCAGGCACATTTTAAAACTCTCACTTCTTAATGCTTGATTAGTAAGCATGCCTGACCAACAAGTAATGCTTGACTAATACTTGACCGTCATGCCCAGAAGCCTTCTGAGAGCTCTGCCCAGTACTGACAGCCTGCAATGAAGCGGAGTTGGTGATGACGCACTGCGCCACCGTAGTTTACTGCACTACACGAGCTGTGAGGACGCCAGCCACACAGAGCGGTCATACTTACTTGCTAAGAGCAGACAGGACAGCGCGACGAAGTGCAGCTGCTGGATAGAGATGTCGTAGCGGTCCATGAACAAGTCCAGTAAGTAGACAGCAAGGTGCCGGGCAGAAGGGCAGAGCGTGAAGCGGTTGCTCACAATGGCAATCAGGTCGGCAAAATACCTTCTGAGGCTTAACTGAGGGGACTGGCCTTTGTAGGAGGGCAACTTCAGCTCCTAAAGCAAGAGGAACAACGTTTAGCCTGACAAACTGAGAGCATCTGCGAAGGCGTCCCTACACTGCAAAGCTGAACGCTGTCTTCACAAGTGCTCAGACAGACTTCTTGGATGACACAGAAATGAAAAAGCCACACACAAAAGCCAAGTGGGAAAATAACATTTCAAAATTAATGTAGAACAAAAATTCCCTCTTTATTTTTAACCGCCTCTGATGTGACCAACTATAAATGTTTCCTGTTTCATGGAAAGGATATATTCCACAAAGATTTATATGAGAATTCTCTTCTCTCCACCAGGTGTTTTCAGAAAAATGTTCTTACCAAAACCCAACACACACACACACACACACACACACGCCCCTCCTGCAAGCTCAAAGCTTTCTGTTAGATGGTACAGACTGAATCCACAGGGTCACAGCACGCTGCCACTGTTATGCTTGCAGGGACATGGAGACCAGCACTCAGCTATTAGTATCTTCTCACCTTATTTCCTTTTAGCAATTTTATCATCCTCCATATATCTAAATATTTCCCATTATCAGTGTCCAATCATAAATCTATATTATATGAACTAATTTTTAAAATTTTGAATTTATCACCAGAAGAGTTCAAGAACATGAAGATGGAAAGCTTCCAAATTCACCTTTTAAGATCACCATAAAACTGAAATTAACCCTAACAATACCAAGAAGCAACATGGACAAGTTATCAAAAACACAGGAAAAGGATACAATTGTGTTTTTACACTTTTTTTTTTTTTTTTTTTTTGCAGAAGTCGGGATTGAACTCAGGCCCTTGAGCTTGCTGAGCCATCTCCCTGGCCCCAAAGTTTTGTTGTTTTTTTCAATTTTTTTTTGTGGTACCGGGGATTGAACTCAGGACCCCAAGCTTGCCAGGCAAGTGCTTATTCTACTGAGCTATATCCCTGGCCCTCAAAAACTATTAACATAGTAAAAAGTCAGCCTGCAGAAGAGGAGAAAACATCTGCAAATCATGTATTTGATAAGAAGCTAATATCTAAATTATATAAAGAGCTAAATTAAGTAACATAACTTAAAAATAAGCAAAGGACTTAACAGACATTTCTCCAAAGAAAATATGTGATGGTCAACATTACAAGCACCTAAAAAATACTGAATATTGGCTTACAGTCAGGAGATGCAAATCAAAATTACCACAGGACATAGCTTCACACTCACTCAGACTGCTAGTATCAAAACAAAAACAAGCACTGGCAAGAACTGGACCACTTGGCCGGGGACATAGCTTGGCAGGCTAAGCGCCTGCCTGGCAAGCACAAGGACCCAGGTTTGATCTCCGGTACCACATGCCACATCAGCCCCTCGGCCATGCCAGCTACTGAAGCCAGGCGTGGCAGCATACGGTGCACACCTGTAATCCCAGGGCTGGGGAGGCTGAGACAAGAAGATCACATGAGTCCAAGCTGCATAGCAATACCCTGTACCAAATAAATAAATGAATAAATCAATCTTTTAAAAAAGTTGGATCTCATATATTACTAGTGGGAATGTCAAATCAATGGCTAGATAGTACGAGAGTATCTCAGAAAATTAAATGTAGAATTACCAAATGACCTATCAATTCCATTATAGAAATATATTCAAAAAAAGCATAAAACCTCAGCAGATATTTGTACATCCATGTTCATAATATCATTCATCATTCATAATACCTAAAAGGTAACAACAACCTGACTACCAATCGATTAATGGATAAACAAAATGGGGGCATACACATACAAGGAAATATTGTTCAGCCTTAAAAACAAAACTCTGGTTTGTACCACATGGGTGGATCTTGAAGGGAGTGTGCAAGGGAGTTAAGGTGAGCACAAAATTCTTTTTTATTTATTTTAATTTTTTTTTATTTTTTATTTATGCGTGCGTGCGTGCGTGTGTGTGTGTGTCCGTGTGTGTGTGTGTGTGTGTGTCCAGCTCAGCTCGGCCCACCAGGGGGCGGGGGCTGGCTGGCATGTGGTGCTGGGGGATTGAACCGTGGTCCCTGTGTTTTGCTAAGCTTGTTTTAAATAGGTGCTTTACACCACTGAGCCATCTCACCAGCCCCACACAAAATTCTTCTGTACATGAAAGCACGCACAACAGCCACGTCCATGGGGCAGTGAGCAGAACAGTGGTTACTAGAGGACGGACGGTGAGAGTGGGGAAGTTACTGCTCAGTGGGCATGGAGTTTCAGTTTGGGAATATGAAGTTGCAAAGATGGAGGCTGGTAATGGCAGCAAAATAATACAATGTCACCGAACTGTCACTTAAAAATGGTTTTATAATATATGAAAATGAAACTTATATATTAACATAGTTTGACACTATCTAAGATAAACAGTAGCCAATGTAATTTAGTAATGTCCAAAAAATACTTCCTCGGGCCGGGGAGATGGCTCAGTGGAATAAGCACTTCCCTGGCAAGCGCAAGGGCCTGAGTTCAATCCCCGGTTCTGCCAAAAAATACAAATAAAAAAACCTTCCTCATCAACTGTAGTATATCTTAGGAAAATAAGGATGTCCTGATGGTAGGAACAATATTATAGTATGTCACAGGGAAGATTGGATGCCCAAACAGCATCTAAAGTATGTATCTCTGATGAGGAACGAATGCAAGGAGGTAGAAAGATCTGAAATATAACAGCCAGTACCCTACTTGGAGGTGACACAGCAGGATTATTATTCTAGTGCCACTCCTTGAACATTTCTAATAATTATTCTATAATGATTCAGTAAATACCAATCAATTCAAGTAGGAAAAAAGCGAAAGTATAGTTACTGGAATGAAAAAAAAAATCAAGTCATTTTTTGGGAACAACATATTTTTCATATAATAGAATTTATATCCAGAAAACTCATGAAAATTAACAATTGCAGAAACAGTAAGAATTCTGTAGGATGGCTGGCCACAAAACAAATATTTCAAAACAGCTTTTCTATATACTAATAACAAAAAAAGAGTATTTCATGTATACTTTATAATAACTATAACAAAGGAAACAATGAGAAAGACATTTATATAACCAGCGTTAAATGGAAATAACTATCATGTGTTTTGAAGACTCATATACACAAAAAGACATTCTAGGGCTGGGGAGATAGCTCAGCGACATAAGGGCCTGCCTGGCAAGTGCCAGGTCCCAGGTTCAATCCCTGGTACTTCCTCCCCCCAAAAAAGAAACATTCTATGTTCTTGGATAAATAATGTATATGGTGACAATGGTATTGCAGAAATGGGGAAAAGATATTTATTCTTAATTTTTTTTTTTTTTTTTCAGCACCAGGGATTGAACGCAGGACCCTGAGCCTGCCAGGCAAGTGCTTATTCTACTGAGCTACATCCCCGGGCCCTACATCTATTCTTAAAGAACTCATAAGTTAATAAAAAAACCCAACATATGACCAGATAGTTCATAGGAAAGACACAGTTCAATGGGAAAACACAACCGGCCCGAGACCAAAAAGATGCCAGATCTCATTCAAATGTGAAATAGTATTCATTTTTTCCCTTACCAGATATTCATTAATTTTTATGTTACCAGGAGGTGAGGTAGTAACAAATAGTTGATATAATCTTTTAGAGGATAACTGGGTAATACAGATAATTTTTTAAAAATGCATTTATCTTTTAATTTAACAACCCTAGGACCAAGAATCTGCCCTACATTTAAGAGATATTTTGCAGCTGTTTATAACAACAGTAGAACAAAATTGTGCAATATAACTTAAGCTTGACGCTCAACATAATTTTAATGAATCTGAAGAATATTGAGTTAAGAAGTTAACTTCAAAAGGTCACATACTGCATAACACCCCTACCAACACTCCCGCAATGCCACAATTACCGAATGGAGGAGGCTCGGGAGTGGCTGGGGCTAGGAGGAAACGTAAGGGTGGCGGGTGGCGGGGAGGGCCGCGCGGCCGTGTGCTCTCTTGGCAGGGTGGCTTGCGAGCAGGCCAGGCGGAGACCCTGTGACGCTGGGGAATGTTCTCTACACTGACCGCAGCAATGTACAAAACAAGGTAGATGCTTCAAGTCACGGAGCTTACAGCAGTCAAACAATTACCACCAACCCCCTGGGAATACTGCCTTCACTCGGAACACCTTTTCCTCTCCTCCTAGTACTTTCGGAAGCAGTTCTGGAGACCCTTTTGAGTGCCCCTGCTCGGCTGCCTAGGTGTTTGGAACCCATCAAAAACGTTAACCTTTCACGGCCGGCCGCTCGGACTCTGGGGAAGAACCGAGAGGCCGCAAGTCTGGACCAGAGGCGGGACCAGAGGCGGCCGCGGCGGCCTCTCCGTGCTTGCGCCTTCTGCGGGATGGCGCTCACCAGCAGCCTGCGCTGTACTTTTAATTGCCTTTTGTAAAGACGTGAAAGGAGACTTTCAGAACTGCGTCAGAAAATGGGAGGAACAACGGGATAAGTGCACTTAACGAGTTATTCTGAGGGGGATAAATGGCAATGTGTCTCTCTCTGTGGCATTTTTAAAATTTAAACAATCACTGATATTTTGGTCACATGTAAATATTCTGGTTGTAACAGTGAGGAGATTACACAGAGGAAAAATGAGTACAGTTTTGTTTTGTTTTTTTCTGGAACCAGGGATTGAACTCAGGCCCTTGCACTTCCAGGGAAGCACTTATTCTACTGAGCCATCTCCCCAGCCCCCAACCATCTCCCTAGCCCCCAAGTACAGTTTTTAGGGGACTGCTCTGTATCATTTTCACAAGTGCATGTGCATTTACAATGATCTCAAAAACTTTTAATTTTTAAAAAACATGTTCGTCAAAACGAATGGAATATATGCACTATGTATGAGCATCAATTCAATGGGATATGTTAAAAAACAGCAGTAAACCTACATGCATTGACATGGGAAAAAATCTGATAAGACTGGGATGGCAGGAAGGTATGAAAAACATGTACATTTTATAATCTAAGGATGTTACAAATACAAATCTTATATTTACAGATATATTGATTTTCAGGGAATAGTAGTAGGAGGCATCTAATCTAATCCTTTCTATACTGTATTATCTAAAGGGTTTTTTTTAATGTGTATAGTACAGGGTCTACGGGTCTCACTACACAGATCAGACTCAGTGATCTTCCTGTTTTCAGCCTCCCAAGCTCTGGGGTTACAGGTGTGTGCCACCATGCCCGGTCTCAGTCGCCATCTCAGCGCGCCGTGGGGCTGGCATGGCGCGCCTGGGATGGAACCCCAGTCCCTGCGCCTGCCTAAGTAGGTGTATTAGTCTGCTGAGCTACCTGGCCAGCCCTTAAAGTATTTTATTTTTGAACCATGTCCATAAACACCTAAAGTTTAAAAAATATTAACAGGGATTACCTGAATAATAATATGTTTATACATTATTATGTATTAATATATAGTACGTATTTATGTATTATATATTAATATATATTCTATGTATAAGAAAAGTATAAACAAATACTGAGAAAAAACCTCTCTGAATAAAAGGTACATTCTAGTTTCTTGTGCAGCTCCTAGGAGTCATCCTTTCTGTGTCATGATTTCTACAGATCTTTACAATGGTGTAGAGCTGTAATCTTTCTTGTCATTATGTGTCATTCACTCGTCATCTCCTGTGGAGTACCAACTGGGCGATTCCTAGGCCATACTGCAGCTGGGAAAACAGTCTCAAGCCTCTCTTTAGCAGGTAAATAAAAATACACAGATGATTATGATACACCATTGTATTAAAACTCAGCTCAGAGGAAAGGGGAGTTGGCGGGGGAAAAGAACCAAAGCCTGGATGCGTTTTCTGGTCAAAGACGCCTGAACTTGACAGACTCCCTAGGATACAAACTTGGAAAATACTAGTGAGCTTTATTTATTTATTTTTATATTAATTTTATTGGGAAAGAAATCGCATTGAGACAGTTTCAAAACAGGTTAGTAGTGAGCTTTATTTATAATGATGTTAACTTTCCTAACTTTACTGAAAACAAATCCAACAGGAACTCCTGATAGAGCTAGCGGGGAGAGTGACCAGCATGGCTAAGGCCCTGGGTTTCATTCCTAATACTGCATAGGGAAAAAAAAAAAAAAAGGTGAGCCGGGGAGATGGCTCAGTGAACTAAGCGCTTCCCTGACAAGTGCAAGGGCCTGAGTTCAATCCCTGGTTCCGCAAAAAGAAAAAAAAAAAAAAGAAAGAAAGAAAGAAAGGAGCAGGAACTTCAAGGCCATGAGAGGATTTTATTTTATTTTATTTTGCAGTACCAGGGATTGAAATCGGGACCCTGCGCTCGCCCGGCAAGCGCTTACTCTACTGAGCTATCTCCCTGGCCCCATCAGGGGATTTTCAATGACGCCTAGCCCAGGTACTGTAGTTACGAGAGCATGAGAGTGACTATGCTGCTCTTAACCTACATTGTTACTTCAGACCACCTAGAACTGAACACTCGCATTCCTATTAAGCTTACAGCAACACACATGAAATGAAGCCGAGCACCCAGAATCCGTCACCTTCACCCTCAGCCTCGAGTCCTCCTCAGCTCTCCACCCCAAATGCCATATCCTCCCCACCACCGGCACACTGGCCAGCCAGCCAGGATGGAAATAAAAGCTTAGAAGAACTACTTGGAACTTAAGAACTTAGAACTTAACTCTGTGGAATAAATATTTTCTTAATGCTTCCCACAAAGCTAGAATTGTTCTCAATTCTCATGAAGGCACTCAAAGATACCCTCCCAAACAGATGATGACACTAGTGAATGCAACAAACCACTAACAAAATGAGACACAGAGAAGACGCTTGCTTTATAGGGTTTTATGAATGGTGAATTATTTTACAAAAACAGTACATATGGGCTGGGGAGAGAGTTCAGCAGCTTAAGCACCTGCCTGGCCAGCACACGGCCCTGAGTTCGATCTCTGGTACCAGAACCAAAACAAACCCACAACACACAGTGCATTCAGCATTTGGGGTCAAGGAGTCTCCATTTTATTTTCCCTCTTCCCTAGCAGGAACAATGCTGGTCACAATGATTATCTTCTCCACAAACCTTGGGTCTAAATATAAGGCATCTTCCATAGCATCAGAGTGGCAACTGCCCAAAGACCCAAACTCAGAGGCTTTTACACTGTCCACGCTCTAACACTTGGCAGAGTACCTTGCAATTTGACTATCCAGTTAAATTACCAATTAGGGTAGAATTAATGTCTTTTCTATCAGAAAAGTTTATTTTAACTTCCTTGATTTCAATGCACTACAGACAATGGTCTCCCGGCTCTGCAAGTGTAAGTTCTACCAATTCACATAAATTCTTCATAAAACGCAGCCCATCAGTCAAATCATGAACATGGTTCACATGTTTGGTGACAGCAGAAAGACAACCCAGAGCAGTATGTGACGGGGCGCTCCGACGACCATCAGCGGCCTTCCTTTAGGACCTGTGCCACCTTGTCCTCTGCCAGAGGTATATACAGTATAAGACTACAAATACTTCACAGCACTGGGAAACCTCAAGCTTTAGAAAATGTACAATTGTAACCATCTAAATCAGAATTAGATTTTTTAATCTGCTTAACCTGGCCAGAAACTCAACATACAAGTTTATTATTGTCCCAGGATCTCTCAACAAGCACCAGAATTCCTTTTACTAAAGAGTCACCTGTTTTCTGCTTAATCTTCTGTACTTAACAAATGCCTCTCTCTATCCAAGGTGAAACTAAGTTAGAAATCATCTTAGATCTGACTTCTCTTCTGGTTTTTAAGAGGCAGAGCAGTCTCATTAATCTGACTTGTGGAGTAAAATTTAAGAGCAACAATACAAAGATTTTATGCCAGAAAGTACTTTTTCAATATACATTAAGTACAGTGAGCAATTTTTTACTAACACTAGCAGAAAGAAGTAGTTAACTCCTTCTACCCTAAGGCTAATTTCTGAACAGACCCAAATCGTAAGGGGCAAATAATAACAATTATTGTTTAGGCTGAGAATATGCCAAACAGTATTCTACGCCCTTCTACGGTACTGGCCCTTAAATTTCACCATCATTCCACAAGGTACATTTTATGACTCCTCACTTACAGATGAAGAAACAAACAGCAACTGAGTGGAACGGCTGGGGAATTCAGTAAGGTACAAATGCGACTCGTAACAGCTGCATAATTTAAATACATGATCAAAGCTGCGGTCTCCTTGGAAACAAGAACGTTGGGATGTCCCTTTCGGTCTTCCCTCTCCCAACTAACATGCCCAATACCGTTCTCCATTTAAGCTACAGGTTCTTCTGATATGCCCAGGGAAGGAACTGAGAGGTTAATTGGTTAAATACGCAAACCTCGAATCGTTCGGCCTGGAAAACGGTAGAGAACCTGATCAGACTTTCCCGGGAACTGAGATCTCTAGCTGGCGCAAACCCCGGAAAGGGAAGGTCGGGCATCAGGGCTACCTTGTACCGGAAAGGGAAGGTCGGGCATCAGGGCTACCTTGTACCGAAGCGCTTGGTGGATGTCGGCAGCCAGCTGTCCTCGCCACCACCGCCCCTCCAGCTCCATGGGACCCGGCGGCGCGCCAGCCAGACGCTGAGACTCCAGCCTGAAAGACACGCCGCAGACCCGCTCGCCGCCGCGCTCGGCGCACGACCCCCGCCCCTCCTCCCCCCCCGCCCAGGTGCGACCTCGGCCACCCCGTCGCCACCTGGCTCCTCAGCCCGGCAGGACGCCACGCGCAGGACCCGGTCTGCCCGCTCCCGAGGCACTGGCTTATCTGGGGAGCGGTCCCACTAGATCTTCGCAAGAGGGGCGCACCTCGGGCCTCGCCGCCACCTAGCGCGACGTCGAGGCTGCAAGCCCTGGAAAAGCCCGGCGGGCGGGCGGGCGGGCGGGCGGGCGGGCGGCCCTGGGCTGCCGGCGTCCGGGGTTCGAGCCCCTCCGCACCCTGAGAAGCAGGGCGACCTGACACCAGCTCCCGCCCGCGGGGATGAACCGCCCACACAGGCTCCAGGCCACAGCCCCCGGCGCCAGCTCCCCCGGGCCAAGGGCGCGCCGGGCCGCACCAGAGCGGGAACAAAAGGCCGAGCGGCCGGGCTGCGCGCCGCGCCCCGCGCCCCGGC